GAGAAGGAGGATGGCCACCACATTTTGCCTTCTCGTTTGTCTTTGACTCTTCTGCTTATCATTTTCTCTGTTCGTTTACAATCACAAAAAAAAAAAACAACGAAGATAAAAATAAGAAAACAATAATAATAATGATAATGATAATAATAATAATTAATTAATTAAAAATACCATTTAGATCTGACTGCTGTTTTGTCTTGTTATGTGTTGATTTGCTCCACAACTTAGTATATCTCCTAATGCTAAGAAAAAAATTTGTTGAATAGACTCAATTATATTGCTTGTGATAGAAGGGTCTTTTATTTGTGAATGTTTTTTTTTTTTTCAATTTTGACTTTGTCGATATTGTTTAGTCTTTAATGTGTGTGTGATTGTTTGGACTTTAATTAGTATTTGGTCTGTGTTGGCTTCTTATTGTTAGTAATCATTCAATCATTTTGTTGTGTCTGTTACGGTTGCTTTGACTGACTATATATTGTAGTCTGTCTTTGGGGTTTAAAATAGTTTTCAAAATCTCGAAGTATTATTCAGATATTTTTTTCTCTGTCTTTTACTCTCTTGTTCTTTCCTCTTTACATTTGGATTTTCTGTTTTTCATTTTCCACCAACATAATTACTCAATAGTTTCAACGGAAATGTTTCATGGATTATTATAAGATCATTTATATAATTTATTACTTATTTAATATATTTTTAACTAATTTAATCCATCTTATTTTTTTTTTAAATCTATGCATAGATTAATAGATTCATGAACCTCCCCCTGCAGTGACAACTAATGAACCATTACAGAATTGAAAGCCATTTAAACGTTTTTATTGAAGGCAAAGTAAAAATACTTATTTAACCAACTAAATGACGAATAGAATAATTGTTCCTTTTGGTACCGCACTCCACGTAGAACGGGTCTAATTACCTTTTCCTCAGAATTTCCCTTAATAGTTTGGATCTTTAACATCTTCACTGATAAAATTCAGTATTATTCTTGGAAAACCTATATTTTTTAAGAATAATGATATATAACATATTTTTACATTCATTTAAAATAATAAAAAATTATAAACTATTGTAAAGAGAATAAAACTAATGGTAATATCAAATAAAACGTAAAATATTATGTGTTAAAGAATCTTTATTCGATTATCCATATGCATATCAATTCTGCTCAGCCAAAAGGGAAAACTCACCATTCAAAATCTTATCTTTATAAGCGTTGCCGTATCACACCCTCCGCCACCGCAAAACCACCACCGGGGACGGAACTGCCTTTGAAAAGAACGCACCACATGCCACAAAACCTCGTTTCCGTCCCTCTGCTATTTCTTGTCTTCACATCTCACTTCCGTTTATTTCTTTCTTGTTTACTTATATTATGTTTACTGAGTCAACTTGCCACGTCAAATTCACCTTCATCTTAAAGTAATTATTTTTTCCACGTACTAGCGTCGCAGAGGTCTTTTGCCACGTTCGAGTGTACATTTATCATCACTCATATAATTAAGCTTTCATGAAAATGTATGTGGGAGAAACAATGGATGTAAAATCCGAATGCATTCAACTTGAGTAGAAAGACGCAATAGATCAGAATGACAAGAACCCAACAAGTGCATGTTATGCCAGCTTATTCTACAGCGTGACCTGTAAAATATCTTTTTATACGAGTTTTCCGCAGAACCTATCTGTCTTCACATGTCCACCAGAATTTGCCAAATATAGAAAATGACATTGTCAAATTCATACATACTTCCGGAAAACAAGAGTTGGGGCGTGAATTCCATGTATCTCTCGGTCTTTCAAGCAATGAACTATACATTCGGCCATTAAGAAACTACCAGATTAATGGGATGGAAAAAAAAACCAAATTTTGCAGAATGCATGCATGCTCTGTAGGATAAGACAACCTCGGTACAAGTAACCTAATTAACAACATGGTTGACATGTGCTATGACCTTTTCACATACAAAAGGATACTATTTCAAATATTGGAGGCTATAATGGGTAGGGATATCTTTGCTTAATCTTGACAACTAATCCCTCTGCCTCCTATGTGATCGTGGAGAACGTGATCTTCCTCGCCGGTCCCTTGAATTACTATCCTCCTTTTGTATCGGTGTCTGACTACGAGATCGATCCCTTGAAAAACGATATCTATCCTCCTTTCTTACAGGTGACAGACTACGAGATCGGTCCCTTGAATAACGATGTTTATCCCGCTGTTGCCTAGGTGAATGACTAAGAGTTTGTCTCCCTCTCGGTTCTGCGTATGTTTATCACAACAAGTCAATCACCAATAGAACAATGACAACATTGTTCTGATTCAAAAATAAGTTGCACAAATGTAGAAAGGAAAATCTATCCAAAAGGTTCAAGCGTTAAAGGGGAAAAATTTGACAATAGAACATAATAGTGGTTTTAAGTTTGAACTAAATATTCTTGTTTTTATAAAACAATAATTGGATTTTTTAGATCAAATCAAGTGTGAAGACATTAGATTATGGTAGAATTGCAAAAGTACAAGAAAGATAAGCCTCCAAGTTACCATGGTCGTATCTTGTACCACTGTACTTGCCAGGAGTTGGAGTCCTGGGACACTGTCTCATTGACTGCAAAAGATATGCAAATAAGATAACGACAGGTAGGACATTTGGAACATACTGATACAAGATTACAACATACTAATATACTATTGTTTGAAGCATTTGGCAGTTCAATAAATCAACTTCACACAACCCTTCACAATAAAGACATAACCAACCAGATGGGGAATTCGACGAAGCTACACGGAGAAAACCTGCTGCCAAAACTTATCAGGGAATGTTTCTCGGAAAGTAGAAATTTCGGGTGGGGATGGGGCGTCTAGAAGGGAATGAGTAATAGGAAAAATTTGTACAAAAATAATTTTTGGTTATACTCATTCTGAAACCAGTAGCTAAATATTACCCTTTCCACAACTATCACCCGATCAAATTGAACCGTGTGATCGAATTCCTTGATACAGCGCTCAGCGTCATCTGTAGTTGCCATAGTGACAAAAGCAAATCCACGAGATTCCTTGGTGTGAAAATCTCTCACCAAGTGGCTGTCGACAACCTGAAAAGAAAAAGCGATGATTCAATCAATATTATGCATAGCCTTCGCCATAAGTAACAAAGGATATCTTAAAACATTAGAGACACACATAATCTGATATGTTGAAACAAATATCAATGCAACACGCAACAAAATCATCTCATAACGAGTCACAGAACGTGTTTTCAACTTCATATATATAGTTCCACAAATCAGACTATTGTAATTAAGGTAGCATGGATCATAGCTCTTTATCTCCGTAATTCACTTAATAATCTACCCATCTTAGAAAAAAATCAAGGCTTTATTATGCATAATGCCTTCCAGTATAAGCCGCACTGATTGAAGTCAAGCTAGTTATACACAACCATTTGTAAAGTGCGGTTCAAAAATAGGGAGGGGTACGTCCCTCATAAGAATACTCTCATATCTATCATTAATTGCATATTAATCCATAAAAGTTAAGGCAAGGTCAAAATAGGACATGTACGTTTACACATATAGAATGCATAGCCACTTTTTTTATTTGTTGCCAATTGAAAATGAGTGAAAATTTCATTTCAGCATTCCTTGGTCCAGATGCATCATTTAAACTCAATTCAACTTTAGAAATCAAGATTTAAATTTAAGCCCTGTTCATATAACAAGGTCATAACCACTTAAGAAAAAAGAAAAAATGAGAAGGAAATATATATATATATATATATATATATATATATATAT